TGTGCGCACAATAGTTTTAATAAAATAAATGAATAAACTATTAATTTCTGACTGTATAACACACAAATGCGAGTTTATATCTCACAATTCTGAGAAAAGAAGTCACTGCAAGACATAAACACGCTATAAACTTATAAAGTCCAGGTTGAAGGAAAAAGGGCTGATTTTTTTTCCTCAGAATTTGGCGTTTATACAGTATTCTGTGAGAGAAAAAAAGTCTGAATTGTCGCAATTACCTTTTTTATTCTGTGTCGGAAACAAGCATCCATAGAATACATGTAGCTTTATAGTTGCTTAAGGTTTACTACAGTAGCCTTAACAGCAGTGTTTCCCCCCATTGTTCTTGGCAGAAGTAGAGGTCTCCAACATTAAACGTTTGCACACGCTTGACTGTTAAAGTTTTCGATGGGTCTATTTTGAACTCCTGTTCACACAACAGTGATTGAGATAATTGGTTGGTGTTTAGCTGAGTAGACATTCAAAGACAACCACCCTTCCCTCTGCCAGGCCTCGCGCTGCTCTGGCATTACACACAGTGTGTGTTCCACCCACAGGCATTAGCTATTAGTGTTCCCCACTGCAGACCCTCATGCAGAGAGCTGAGTAAGAGAGCGGTGTTTACACTGCAGATGCATGAACAAATGATCAGCAGAAGAAAGAGAGCGAGTCCCCCAGGCAGGGGAACGCAAGACGAGAGGAACACTGTGGAAGAAGAACAGCACATTAAAACAAGAGAGGGGAGAATGAACGGATGGATGCCTCACGTCCATGAATCTTGTATGTGATATGCAAGTGCCATTTCTTCGGCGTTAAAATAGAAAATGCACCCGCATCTTCCTTCAGTCGCCGCCTGACTTGACTGACACCGAACGCTCACATGCATGTTGTCATGCACGCTCTGTGATGTGTGCGCTCACTGCCTCGGGGTAACGTGGCTGAAAATGCTCGTGCATGAAAAATATCTGATGTGTGTCCCAGGCCTGTAGCTGTGTACATGCAAACCTGCACATAAGCATGTTATTTTGTTCATATTTTTAGTATAAAATATGTTTTGCATTAAAATAATAATAAAAAAAAACTATATTTCAAAAAACAATACAATTCTTTTTTTTTTAAATAATAACAATGGTAGCATTTTATATTAGTTAACTTTATTTAATGCATTTAACTAACATGATCAATGCATTTGTATAATAATATAAATTATACTGGTTTATTAAAATTAAAATATAACTTTATAGTAAAAAAAACAAACAAGTGGTAACACTTTACAATAAGGTCCCATTAATTAACATTAGTCAATGCATTTATTGCAACTAACAATACATTTGTTACAGTATTTGTTCATCTTTGTTCATGTTAATTAATGAAAAAATACTGCTGTTCATGCTAATTCGGGTCCATTATATCATTTTCAAAATCCCCCTGTGGTGAAAATCAAGCTTTGAATGTTGTTTATAAGTCAAGGTGTTTTAACACACACTATGTGTAAAGTGGACAGCATTGCTGAGTATTTCCTCCTTAAAACTGCAGTGAACCAAAGACAGTCTCAAAAACACGCTTTGAATTCGCTGGTGTTTCTGACGTCACAAACCACCTTGTAACCAATCAGATCATGAGCTTTAGCTTATCGTTCTGTGAAGCAAGCGGAGTCTCTCTGTTGATATGAAAATCCAGGTACATTTAGCATTACAGCGGGTGAGTTATGTATATAATGTATATTACAATGCTAATCCCCACCCACTGATGACTACTTCCAGCAGGATAATGCACCATGTCACAAAGCTCCAATCATTTCAAATTGGTTTCTTGAACTTGTCAATGAGTTGACTGTAGTAAAATGGCCGCCACAGTCACCAGATCTCAACCCAATAGAGCATCTTTGGGATGTGGTGGAACGGGAGCTTCATCCCACAAATCTCCATCAACTGCAAGATGCTATCCTATCAATATGGGCCAACATTTCTAAAGAATTTCCACTTATAAAGCAGTTCTGGAGGAGAATGGTGTTCCTAAAAATCCTATGTGAGTTCATGTTAACTAATGTTAACAAATAGAGCCTTATTGTAAATTGTTACCATAATAACAAAGCAAGTTCAAAAACCTTTTTACATAAAGCCAATTGCAAATAACTGGGAGTTGAATCAACAGCAGTGATCCATCTATTAAGTGGGAGGACAGAAATAACATCTAGATGACACAAGATTAGCCGAGAACTGATCAAAGAGTCCTATAATGGCAAGCGTGGTCTGAACTTCACGATTAACATCCGTGCATTTCAGGAAAAGTTAGAGATGAAAGAATCGAGAGATTGTTACTGAGCCGAGAATCAGCCGTAGAGCCAAACCGAGAGGAGAGCTGGACTGAAAGGAGATCAGAGTGGCGTAAGATAAAATACTAAAGTATGGAAGCTTTCAGACATAAACAAGCCATTGCAGCATTTCATCACTACACTCTGACGTTTTTCAAGGTTATATCTCACAATGTTGATACTTTTCCTCAGAATTTTACTGTAAAAAAAATATTGTTGGTTTTGACTTAAAAAAGTAAGTAAAACTTAGGTTGCCTTAAAATTTTAAGTTGATTGAACTGGAAAAAGTGAGTTAATACAATGAAAGAGATTGATTTAATCATCAGAAACTCAAAATAATAAGTTATCTGAACTAAATAAATTATTTAAGTTTATTTGACAAAAGTCACAAAATGTTGTGATAACAAATCTTGAAAATATATATGTATATATTTTTACAGTGTATCTTGGTTGTGTTTGTTTCCTCCACAAAAAATAAATAAATAAATAAATAAATAAATAAAAGCTAATTGTGACATTTTAATCTTACATAAGTGAGTTAATAATCTTGCAGTCCTGGCATTTTTTTTTCTCTGAATTCTGGGTTTACATCTTAATTTCTTATTGACATTTTTTTTTTTTTTGTCCTAGAGTAAAATAATAAAAAGGTAATTGCAACTTTTTATCTCAAAATTCTGACTTTTTCTCACAGAAAAATGTAAGTCATTTGTGACTTTTTAGATCTTGCAATTTTTACATTTTGCTCAGAATTGCGAGGTAATTGTCCCAGAATTGCCTTTTTTACTTTTAATTGCATGGCAGAAATAAGCTTCCACACCATGGAGATTTTTTTTTTTTTTTGGAAAGTTTCATCATTGTGCTTTATTAATACACTTGACCTCCAAAGAACAAACCCATATCAGCCTTTATCCTGTAGTGTTCCTACACACACACACTCAAGCAGGCCAAGCGTACGGGTGGCTGAGTAACGGCACCGGCTGAACACAGGCATGAGAGAGGCCTTGCTTTGCCTCAGGGGTGCCAGATTCAGAGTAACAGACTCTCACACTCATATTCCCAGAGAGCGGCCATGTCTGACTGAGAGAGAGAGAGAGAGAGAGAGAGAGACATGCCAACAACACTGATGAACATGTGCAGAAAGCATGCATTCACTGATGACCTTTTTCCAAGCTCCAAATGTAACCAAGCTGCCAGAAGCAGAGCTTGACTGCAATATGACAAAAGACTGACATACTACAATACAAACTGATCTTGATGACAATAAAGCATATTTGAACCCAATTCTCAGTCCTAATCAAGCTAAAGGAAGATGCCAGCAAAGTTTTCTCCAGCGAAGTGTATAAAGTGAATCATCCAGAGTGTCTTTTTAATGTATCCAAGATAAAATAAGTTATTTCTACCTGACCTATAACCATTAAAAGTGCAATAGAATGCATATATATATATATATATATATATATATATATATATATATATATATAATGTGTACACAATAATTGAACAGAATAGTATTTTTGACTTGAAAAAACGCTTAATTTTACAGTACAGTACTTACAGTATACTTACAGTTACCTAAGTACTGGCTAATATACGGTAAGTACGTTCAGGGTTAGTACTAGTTATTACCCAGTAATTGTAGTTACTAAAATAAGTACATAGTATTTACATGGGTAACTGGACTGTAAAAGGAAACGTTACTGGAAATGCCTTTTTACAGAAAATATTTTACAATGCATATTAGGGTAAAATAAATAAATAAATAAAATAGGCACTGAACTTGACAAAAACCTTTAATATGTGTATGTTTAGTTGTATTATTGTTTTTTTTTTTTTAATTTCTGACAGATTAAAGGAAAAGTCAAATCTCTTTCACACACTCACACACACACAGAGGCCAGTAATTACATACACTTCCACATGATATCAGACATCTATTAGGTGTGGCACAGCGATTACTGGACACAGAGAGATGAGCGTGCCAATGAAGTCTTATCAGTTCATTTGGGGAAATCTCATTGTGATTCATATCTAATAACGGCAATGGTGATTCTCCACTTGCAGCCAATCTATTTTTGGCTGAGAGGAATAGCAGTATTGGGATGCACAGCAGCAGCACTGCTGTCTGTCACATGGCAACAGAGCAAAGCAGTGCTATCAGGGTCATAGTTCCTGAGATTGTTAGATTTCTGTCCAATATGACCTTCACAGTCATTTTTTTACCTGGCTTTCTCTCTTTGTCCTACTCGCTCGCTCGCTTTCTGTGTTGTGTGAGACGGAGAAAGAAAAGTGCAGGCCGATTATTTCAACATTTCAAAGCACCTCTTCGCACACATTTGAGGCATTCATTTGACTTGAAACGGACACACACAACGCATGCTCTTAAATCATCTCAATTAAAGCAGAAGTGTGTGTTTGGCTGAAGAAGACTTTCCCCTCGGCTCAAACAGGGATCTGTCCGAGGTCCTGAATCAACTAGATAGTCACTATAGCACTGAACTCATCGTTTGCATTTTAAAATAAGCACAAAGAGTGTAAAATAACACCGTCCGAGCATGCACCGAATCAATCTAATTTTCTCGCATCCTTCCACAAAAGACAGATCAAGCACGACTCTCATCCATTAGCCGCTGAAAAGGTCACAAATTCAGTATAACAATGCGCCATTTAGACCAGGTTTGGAAAAGCCTACCTTGTTTGATTTTGTTCTTTTATCCAACCTAACTTTGCTCTCCAGATTTCGGGTCCGAAGGATCCTATAGCCCCCCGAGCGCGTGCACGAACTCTCCGACGAGTTGACAGCTGAAGATCATCGCTTTAGCACACGCGAATCCACCGGGCTCGATCACACACGCGCGCGCGCGCGACGAGAGTGTTTTCTTGGGCTTCTGTCGAGCTCTGATGCATCGCCGTCTGATGCATGCATTTATTACGCACGATGTCCTTGACAAGTATCCACATCACATTGAACAGTGGAAACGGCGTTCAGTGCGCTGCAAACCCACGGAAACATACTTGTTCTTCACAAATTGCTCAAAGTCGTTCAGTATGCACACCATCTAATCCATGCAACCACTGGAAGTCCTCGCCTCGGCTCCACTACATCCAAACATTTTCCCAAGTCGCCTTCCGATGAATTATTCCTCCCCGGGACTCCGATGAGAGAAACGAGCTGCGCGTGTTAGAAATGAAGCTGTGTGGAAGAGGACGAAGTGTTTCTGCAGGTCAGCAATGGGAGTGGTGTGTGTGTGTGAGAGAGTGAGTGAGGAGAAACGCGCTCCACGCGCCGCAGACACGCCTCGCGCTGCCCACCGACAGAGTCCGCGAGATCCTGCTATCTTGACATGTTGCAATAAATCACATGTTCCTGAGATGGTGCTTTAGTTTTGTTGCAGGCATGAGATGAGTTTCAGATGAGACGTCAAACGTGCGCGTTTGCGTGCGCGCTTGTGTGTGTGTGTGTGAGAGAGAGAGAAGGAGAGAGAGGGGGGGGAGATCAAAAACCCCCACGAGGATAGTAAAACCTGAAATATTTGCAGTAGCTGGTTTCTTCAGTATTAAAACGGCTCAATACACAAATATAGGCTAGTGTATAGCAAAAATGTATAGATGCAAATCAGTTACTTTAGAAGTGAGTTATATAGATAGATAATCATAAGATCTGTTTTAAAGCAGCCGAAGTCGGTGTAAAGTGTGTGGGTGCGCGTGCGCGGGAGGGGTCGGGGGTCTGTGTGCTCGAGAGGCTGATCTTGCATTTAAATTACAGCAAATACAGCACGTGAACGGAATGGATGTTTCATTTGGAAACGTGCTGTGAATTCTCATTCGCTTTGGTGAAGGAATGTTGAAAGTTTGGTGTTCAGGTATAAAAAATAAAATAAAAATGAAGAAATTCTCTGTAGGCCACACGCTGCTTTTCTGATAACGTTTTACTGGGATTATTTCATTACAATTCTCTAAAATGTGTTTTAGCTGTCTTCAAAATGAGCTCAAATTAAATAAATAATCCACAAAATAAATGTTATTCTGAGGTACGGAAGCGTATTGCATTCACTTCTTCATAATCTACTGTGTTTTTTTCCTGAATTAACGAGTAAATTATCTCAGAATTACGAGATAAATTTTCATGGAAAAAAGTTTTTGCTCTGTTTTTCTGAATTAACAAGTTAATTATCTCAGAATTACGAGATGATTTTTCATGGAAATTTTTTTTCTCTGTTTTTCTGAATTAACGAGTTAATTATCTCAAAATTACGAGATAATTTTTAATGGAAAAAAGTTTTTGCTCTGTTTTTCTGAATTAACGAGTTAATTATCTCATAATTACGAGATAATTATTCTTGGAAAAAAACATTTTTGCTCTGTTTTTCTGAATTAACGAATTAATTATATCAATTAATTATGAGATAATTTTTCATCGAAAAAAGTTTTTGCTCTGTGTTTCTGAGTTTTTTCAGAGCAAACAGAGCAAAAAAAAAAACATGAAAAATGATCTCGTAATTCTGAGATAATTAATTCAGGAAAATATATATATATATATATTTTTTTTTTCTTCAAGTGAATGCAATACGCTTAGGCTACAACTTTCAGATCCTAATGGAAAAAAACAATAAAAAAATAAAACAATGAATAAATAAATGTTTTGAGGTAGGCTAATAGATTGTCAAAAATTAAATTAAATTGAGGTACAAAACTCAAATAAATAAATGGAAAAAATCCTGTCCTTTAAGTAAGTTATATTCTTATATTTAAACATATAACATTTTAAAAAAAAAATATATATATGCATATATAAGAAATGTTATAATAATTTCAAACCATATTTTTATTTTACTAATTTCTTGTTTTAATGGACAGCCCACAGTGCAGCACAATACAAACATGTAAAGATAGAAAACTGGTTAGATGTAATTTATTTAATAATTTCTGAGGTCACAATTTAACTAGCAATTATCAATTGATGGGAAAAAAAAAAGAATTTAGCTATATATTTGTGTTTGAATGTGGTTTGGAAACTGAATTGTCAGGTGTTACACATGTCTTCATTGGCAAAATCATAATATTACCTTTAAATCTTTCCCTGGAAAACAATACCTGTTCGTTATTTTCAGATCTTCTGTTTGCAGTGCCTGAACTGAAACACACAAACAAACAAATCAAATAATAATGAAAACCTTGACTGATGCCCATGAGGTGCAGGAGAGCATTGCTGACTGGAATATGAATATTAGATGCTCATCCCTCGATTTCCTCAGAAAAGAAAGCATGCGGCTCTCCTAATGTTACATAAAATGGCTTTTCAGAGTACAGGCAAAGTGCAGAAGAGATAAAGAAAATATTACAGCGGAGGACGATGGTTAATTGCGCTGTCTATCAGGTAATCTGCTCATCTTTCCTGTTGCTGGCAGCATTATCAGAGATTAGAGAAGATCTGGTTATGGCATGCACATAGATAGTACAGGTTCCTGAAATCTAATACGCCAGAGAGAGAGAGAGAGAGAGAGAGAGAGAGAGAATCCCAATCCCAAACTGCTGACACTGACTGAGATAGTCAACTCCACACAAAAGGATGCATATCAGATTTCTGAAACCATCTGCTGACTTCCTGTGCTTTCCAATTTTGCTTTACGACTTTTTTTCCCCTTTAAACAAATGGTAATGGAAAAGCAATTCATCTCTGCATGAATCAGTTGAGAGGAATAAATCTCCATGAAAAAGATCTTCCTGTTTCAGAAGGTTACAGAGCATTAAGAGACAAATTCTGCTAGAAATGCAGAAGTGATGGACTTTGAGGCAGAGACGAGGCTTTCTGCGGGTTAAACGGAGGTTAGCAGAAAGATGTCGCAGAACGCGCCTGTCGCTGAGGTTTGTAATATTTGTGCCAAGTGACTTTGTGCGGTTTGACAGATGGGAGGGAAAGACTGCAGTTAATGGGGTCGCCAGG